CGACGACGACGACGACGACGACGGCGACGACGACGACGACGGCGGCGACGACGACGACGACGACGACGGCGACGACGGCGACGGCGGCGACGACGGCGGCGGCGTCGTCCGGGCCCTTCTTACCCGGCGCCCGGGGTCGCGGTGCGGAGCCGACAAAATGAGGGAACGAGAAAAAGGGCTCACCTTCCATGCACATCAGGGCCCCCTCCAAAGGGCCCCCTGGGGCCCTAAAGGGGGCACGGCGGGTGCACGTTTCTCCCCCCCCCTCCCCGTTCATCGCCCCCCTAGGAATCGAGTAGGAGATCGACTGCTGAATCGAGCAATCTCCGGTCGTTGAAAGTAGGCATTTTTGGATTCCCAGATCCCAATCTACTTCAACCGCCTTCCTACTTCAAGAATCGGCATGCTTTTGCCGTGTTTTGGTATTCGTTGGGGGGGGCCTGGACCCAATCTACCATATCCGCTTTCCTATACTTCATGCTTCAACCTACTTCTGCCGATCGACGTGTACGCGTTTTTCTTCGCAGCTTCGACGAACATGTCGATGTTGGGGGGAATCGGCGCCGCAGTCGATCTCCTGCTCGAGCGAAGCTTAACGCCCGAGGAGCGCCGTGGCAGGCGGCGACGGGGGCCTCCTCCTCGAAGGAGCGCGGCTGCAGCATGCCCACCTTCGAGGGCCTCTCGTTCGCCAGCGCGCCCTCCAGGGCGCGCCCAGGGCGATCGTCGCCCCAGACACGCCCGGGCCGCGAAAACCCTCCGATCCTTGCGCTGCAATTTTTTTGTTCACCACGGGGGCCTTCGCCCAACCTCGGGCCCCGGGGCCCTCACGGATCGATCCTGCTCGAAAAATTACGACGAACGATGCGGTCCGGGGCTCCGGGTGTGATTTTGCATCGTTGTTGAATTTCTTGATTTGCGATGTTGCCATTTTTTTCCAAATTCGGATCTCCGTTAAAGTAACGGCGGGCGGCAGTTTTCGGCTTCCCGGGGCCCTCGCGGGGCCCCGGGACCGTCCGAACACGATGCGGGATGCAGAGCCGGCCTCGGTCGGGACGTCTGGGGACTCCGCAGGGACAACCATCGGGGCCTCGCATGTCCGGGGGCCGGGCCTGCGCCGGGCTTGGGGCGCCAGAGACGGGAGCACAGCACACGGGAGTACGGGGAGCGCCGATGTCCACGTTGGGCCATGCCCCCGTTTGGGGGGCCCCGGGCGCCGCAGACAGGGGGGTACCCAGTATAAGCGGGGGTGTATATGGACGAGCCAGGAGGCCCCCGCTTGGCTCGACCCCCGTTTGGAACAAAGCCCCGGCAGGCGCGCTCGGAGCTTGCCGAGCCGAGCGAGCCCTGGTTCAAGGACGCCCTCAGCGCGGCGGACGACTTCGCCCAGGGCCTGTCCGCGCTCGTGGGGCTGCTCTTCCGGCCCAGCCGTAAGTCGGGCCCGTCCCTCTACAGGGGGAACATAAAAAACCCAAAAATAGTCTGGGGACCTTTTTTTGAGCATTAGGTCTTCGTTTTGAAGAGACGTCGCCCCGCGTTCCTCCTCTCCTCTCCTCCTCCCCCTCCTCCTCCTCTTCTCCTCCTTCCTCCCTGCGTTTCACCCACCCAATACAGCGTTTCGTAGCCCCATAGGGAGCTCCACCGAAGGCCCCAGTGGCAGCGTTCGCATGGCGGCCTCGGGCCATTTCGGCACACCCCTCACGAGGATCGTGGCCCCATAGGGAGCTCCACCGAAGGCCCCAGTGGCAGCGTTCGCATGGCGGCCTCGCGCCATTTCGGCACACCCCTCACGAGGATCGTGGCCCCATAGTTGCGCCGCTTCATCAACCACGCCTGGGCGTCGTACTCCGCCTTGTCGACGTGCAACGCCACCTCCTCCCTCATGGCCCTCAAGGCCCTCTCCTGCTTCTGCTCCTCTGTGAGAGGGACGCCGTCCTTGTCGTCGCCGGCGCCCGCGAAGACGGTCACGAACGTGTCCCTGAGCATGTCGGGCTCCGGCGGGAAGCCGTGGCCACATAGGGAGCGCGGGCGAAGATGGTATTTACAATTGCGGTATTCACAACTGTATATGGTTGGGTCCTTCGCCAGGCTAATTGAATGTTTGTGGGGTATTCTTTATTTTTCGTCGAAAATCCTCCTGCAGGGGGACACACCCGACTTAAGCCCAGCCAGCGGCCCCGGCGCGTCGTGGAGGAGGCCCAGCCCGTGCAGCCGCCGCCGCACTGCCCCAGGTGCCGGGCCCCCTGGCCGCAGCTGTCCTCGGCCAACTTCTGCCCGAGCTGCGGCCTGATCATCGGCTAGGGCCGCCCGGGCGCAGTGCGCTGGCTGGGAGAAAACGAATAATAATAATGATACTACTAATAATATTATTAAAATAACAAGACTAATAATAATAATAGTAATGATATGACTAGTGCTATTATTAATAATAGTACAGCTAATCATAATACTAATACTATTACTACTACTACTACTACTACTACTACTACTACTACTACTACTACTACTACTTCTAGTACTACTACTATTACTACTACTTCTATTATTACTACTACTATTACTATTACTATTACTACTACTACTACTACTACTACTACTACTACTACTACTACTACTACTACTACTACTACTACTACTACTACTACTACTACTACTACTACTACTACTACTGATCATAATATTAATAATAAGAGTAAACATGATTATAGTAATAATACGACGAATAAGAAGAATAATAATAGTAACAATAAGCATAATAATAATAACAATCGTACTAATACTCATAAGAATAACAATAGTAATAATAATAAGAAGAATAAGAAGAACGAGGCGCCATGAAAAGCAAAAAACTTTTGGCGCTCCGCGCGGGTTTCTTGGCTCCGCGCTGCCCCCCCCCCCCCCCGGCGGCGCCCCCGGCGCCGCCCCCCGCGCGCGCCAAGGAGGGGGGGCCAGCGCAGAGCCAAGAGATCCGCGCGGAGCGCCGAAAGTTTAGGTTTACGGCGCTTTTCTTCTTCTAGCTTCTCTCCTCCGTGGCCCTCCCTGAGATCCGACGTTGCAAAACAAATTGCGACATCGCAGAAACTCACGCCCAGAGCCCCAGACCGCATCTTTCTGCGTCATTTTGCGAGCCCGATCGATCTGTGAGGGTCCCGGGGCCCGAACTCGAGAGAGAAGACCCCCGTTGTGAACAAATTGCAGCGCCAGGATCTCAGGGTCCTCCGTGGCCCTGAGTGCCAGCATGCCTCCGCGCCCTCCTCGGCGAGGGGGAGGGGGCCGGGACAGCGACGGCCGGCCTCCGCGAGAGGAGCCCGGCCTCCGCTGCCCCTGGGCGCCGCGGGCGCGGCGAGAAACGGGCCGCCGCGCGGCAAGCAGGGGAGCGGGGGTGCGGGTCCGGTCGGGATGCGGGTGGCATTTTTAAGACTCACACAGCACCCCTGAGATCCTGGCGCTGCTATTTTTTCACAACGGGTTTTTTTAGCTCGATATCGGGCCTCGGGACCCTCACAGATCGATCCGGCTCGAAAAGTGACGCAGAAAGATGCGGCCCAGGGCTCTGGGCGTGAGTTGTTGCGATGTTGCATTTTTTTGCAACGTCGGATCTCAGGGTTCCCAGACTCACACATCACTCGGACGCATGTTGTGTTCCCCCCCACAAACAAACCAGCTCGGGCACGCTTGATCATGGGATCGTCTGGTGTGCTGTCGCTGGTACAAGCGAGAGCTGCTACGACAGGAATGCGTCTGTCCAGCTGGAGGTTGGCTGTTAGCCGAGAGGCGGCCTCGGACGCAAGACATGATGATATGTAAAGGGAACGTGGACGCATGTGGCGTCGTAGAGCGGCGGGCGGTACGGGCTGGCAGCACTGTCTCTGAAGAGAGGTCGACAGGTCAGCGAGCGCGCCTCCACTTCACGCGACTCCTCCGCCCGTGGGGTGCGCCCAATGCCGGTCGAAGTCTTGCACTCGGCGAGCGCCGTGTGGCGAGGCGTGGTTGGGGGTTCCTGCCTCCCTGCTGTGGTATGCGCTCAGCCTCCGTTGCCATCGCGAGGGGGGCCCGCGCCCTGGCCGGGCGCCCCAGTGCTGTACCCCCCCCCCCCGACCGTGTGCCACGGCATGCTCGTGTAGTCCTCTCGGCGTTGCCGCCGAAGCCCTCCCGCCTCCCCACTCCAACTCCTCTGCTAGACCGTCCGCTGCCTCGGGGAGCCTCCGTGCTGCGGGATCTCAGGGCTTCGCAAAGTGCCTTGCCTACTCGCAAACGTCAGAAAACCCGACGTCTGCCTTTGTGTTGTATGTCGAAGATCCCCTGCGGCGGATCCAGGCCGTCTGCGAGTGGCTTCTTTTTGCAAGTAGTGGAACGTGCTCGTCTAGCGATCTCGTGAGCCGTTTTCGTATTATGATTTTGCTGTGCAGCACAGGAGGAACGAGGACAGAACGAGGGAGAACGACAAACGAACACGAGGGAGAACGAGGGGAACGAGGGAGGAACGAAGACAGAACGAGGGAGAAGGACAAACGAACACGAGGGAGGAACGAAGACAGAACGAGGGAGAACGAGGGGCACGAAAACGAACAGCACAGTTTTGGTCGAGCCGTGGGCAAGGGCGGGCACGCCGCCGCCCCTGCGCTCTGCGCGGCACGGGGTGTGCGAACTGGGCCGCCCCGCGCTTCGCCACGCGCCGGTGCGAAGCGCGAGCCTGGATCGCGCTTCGCGCCACGCGGTCTTCGCGCTCCCCTTCTCTCGGGCTGGACGGAAGGGGGGGGATTGGGAAAGGGGGGGTTACGAAATCTGCTGCATGCAGCTGGTTTCGGCCCCACCGAGGGGACCCTTCCTCGATACGTAGCCGCCTCCGGCGCCGGGAGGCGCCGGGAAGATCAGCTCCGTGAGCTGATTCTCAACCCCCCCCTTTGCTATCCCCCCCTTTCGCCCGGCCCGATTCTCTCGCGTCCCAGTCTTCCTCCCCTGGCGGGGTGCCGTCCCCGTGCTCGTTATGAGTGCCCGCCCAGGGCACGCTCGTGATCGTCCCCTCCAACCTGCTGGACCAGTGGTCGCAGGAGATCTCCAAGGAGGGCGAGCTTTTTTTGTCGGATCAGATCTGTGAGTGCGGTGGGTGGGGACGAAATGCGACCAACCGAGAGCGGGAGGCGGAGAAGGACATATGATGAAGTGGAGAAGGACCAGGACAAGGGTTGAGGAGGAGTGGTAGAGGGAGGGAGAGGAAGAAGACGAGGAGGGTGAGCGGGAGGGGCGGAGGTCCATCGGCAGCTTGGCTGGCCGGACTTTTGGGTTCCCCGCGATGGGCACGAACCAGCTTCATTTTGGAGCAGATGCGCTCAACGTGCAGGTGGGGTGGAGAAGGGGCGGCCACGTGTGCTAGAATAGCGCGGCATCGGGTGCGGCCGCTGACGTTGCCACGGAGTTCTTCCCATCGCGGGGTGAATCATGTTCTCGGGCGTGCTGTGCACCTGTGTGGTCGTGTCTTCGTCGCGCGGTTGGGACACAGCCCTCTTGTAAATGGCAGCATATTAGCATACGCTTGTGTGGAAAACAAGTAGTTCAGCGAGCGGTATACGCATGATTTCTCGAACCTCCGCTCGGATTTCCTGGAATGGCGTTTGGGCCCCCCCCCTGGCGGCGCCTCCGCCGCCGCCCCTGGGGCGGTCCGCGCGCCAGGGAGGGGGTTCCACAGCGCCGATCCAGGACATTCACGCGGAGCTCCGAGATTTGATGTCTACGGCCGTTTCCTGTTGCCTGTAGTGCCAGGTGAGCTTCTGCGCGACTTCGACCTCGGCCGCCGCCGGGCTAGTCCGGGGCCCTGGGGCCGGGACTCTCGGGGCTGCGGCGGTGGCCGTGGCCATGGCTCGGGGCCTGGCCCCCAGTCGAGCAGAGGCGAAGCGCCCTGGCGTCCCTGTGAGGCCCACCGAAGGATGTTCTGAGAGTCTTCGGTGGCCTGCACGGCGTGTTCTCAGAGCACGTCTGGCGGATGCCGTCTTGGTTTCACCTCTCGGGCGCATGTGCTGAGGGCATCGCTTTTGCTATCCGAACAGTTCTGGGTTCCGACGAAGGCATCTGTACACCACCACCGTGCCAGGCCAGGGCCATCCTGGGCGCCAGGATGGTGTATAGACCCTCTTGGCCTCGGTCAGGAGGGCGTACACCATCCTGGGGCCCAGGATGGCCCTGGCCTGGCACGGTGGTGGTGTACAGATGCCGTCTGCGAATGGGCTCCAAGGACACTTCGTGGTGAGCCCGTAGGAGTGCCTGGACGACCGGTCCTTGCTCCATCCGGGCGTCCCCGCGCGCGCGCTCGCGGGACAGCCATGGGCAGCCCGCGCGGGCGCGGCGAGGTAGGCGCGCGCACCGCGTCGGGGCCTGGGGCGGAGCGGCAGCCCTGTGCTCTAGGGGGGGGCGGTCGGCGGGGGCGCGCCGCGCGTGTCCCTTGGCTTGGCATCGCTCGGACGTGTGCATTTTTGTTCGGCGAGGACCATCGAGGAGCATCCTTGATCGTCTGGTGAAGAAAACCACGCACGAAACCGACACAGAGCACAGGAAATGGACGTCCGAGCGATGGCCAGCTTGGGGGTTTGGCTGCGGGCGTGCCCGGCGGAGGCCCCCAGGATGAGCCACGGGTCAGCAGGGGAAAAAACACACAGACACAATTAATCCTCGCTTCCCCAGAAAATATGGGAAAATATGGGAAGTGGGGGGGAAGACAGAAACGTAGAAAATATAGGAAAATATGGGGAATATTTCTATTTGTGAGAATTTATTTGTGTGTCCCGGGGCCCCTTCAATGGGGGTTTGGCTGCGGGCGTGCCTGGCGGAGGCCCCCAGGATGAGCCAAGGCAGCTCCTGCGATCCCTCCCAAGAGTCGGGGGGGCAAATCATGGCTCAAGCATGCACTGTTGGAGGTGCGCGCGGACCTCCAAAAGTGCACGTTAATCTCATGACTTGGTCCCCGAGAGAGGTCCTCACGAGGCCAAAGTCATGGATTTCCCATTGAGCTTTCAAGGACTTCCGCGTCCGCGCTTTTGCGGGGCCCCGACGTTCAGGGCGGCCAGAGAGGCCTCAAATATAGCGATCTCTGACACCCGTGGCTGGATGGGCCGAAGGGCTCTTGCGAAGATTTACGACCAGTGCCGCCGACCCTGCAGGGGGACGACGACGAGGACGAGGACGAGGACGAGGACGACGACGACGACGACGACGACGACGACGACGTCGACGATGACGCGAGGAAGAACAACTGGTTTCCGTGGCGGATTGTGCCGCAGGGCTATTGTTGTCTGTGCCGCCTCAAGCGTCTGCCGCATCTTCGGCTCCAAAGCTGTGCTCCAGAGGGAGGAGGAGGAGCGAGGAGGAGGAGGAGGAGAAGGAGGAGGAGGAGGAGGAGGAGGAGGAATAGGAGGAGGAGGAGGAGGAAGGAGGAGGAGGAGGAGGAGGAGGAGGAGGAGGAGGAGGAGGAGGAGGAGGAGGAGGAGGAGGAGGAGGAGAGGAGGAGGAGGAGGAGGAGGGGAGAGGAGGAGGAGGAGAGAGGAGGAGGAGGAGGAGGAGGAGGAGTGAGGAGGAGGAGGAGGAGGAGGAGGAGAAGGAGGAGGAAAAGGAAAAGGAGGAGGAGGAAAAGGAGGAGGAGGAGGAGGAGGAGGAGGTGGCTGCGCTTCCAGCCTGGCGTGGCGCGCCCGCCTCCGCGCCAGGCCACGCGCCGCAGCTCCGAAGGGCTCCGGCGGTGCTCGAAGCCGGTGCACGCTGCGTGCGCTGCCAGGGAGATCCGAGGCCCCGAAGGGATCGGAGCTGCCGGTCCTGGGCCGTTTTCGGCCGCCGGGGGCCATCGAGAACGGGCCCCTGCGCCGGATGTCATGGGCCTCGGGGTGCGTGGTGCTGCCGTCCACGTGCCGGGGCCCCGAAGGGATCGGAGCTGCCGGTCCTGGGCCGTTTTCGGCCGCCGGGGGCCATCGAGAACGGGCGCCTGCGCCGGATGTCATGGGCCTCGGGGTGGTGCTGCTGTCCACGTGCCGGGCGCAGTGGCGGTCAGGAGCGTCTGCGCATTAGCAGGGCGGCGCGCCATCAGCTCTGGTAGTGCCTAGCGTGTCGATCGCAGGGGCCGCCGCCGCGACGCGCCAAGCACAGGGTTTTGAGCGCACGTCTCGCCCAACCTCCTCTGCTCCACTGCCATGCTGGCACGAGCGACACGCGCAGGTGGGTGGTCCTGATCACAGTCGATCGCTGTCTGATCCTCTCCCTCCCTGGGGCCCACCTGACGGATCTGCTCAGCTCCAGTTTGTTTCCAGTTAGATTCAAGCTCGACTCAAGGCCGGCTCACGTTCGCCTCACATCGACGGACGTTCGACTCAGCATTGACGCGTGAGTGTAGCGAGTGGCTCCAAGAAGGCCCCCAGACCCCCGATGCTCTGATTTTTTGAGTGCGGGGTCCCCGGAGCTCTGGACCGCTTCCTGGGGACTGGGCTTTCGCCCCAGATTGGCCCTTGACGGTCTCGAGGCTCGGCGAAGGCCCCAGTCGCCGGACGCGCCGAAGCTCTTGCCTCGCGTCGCCTTGAGGTTTGCCGACACGTGGGAGGTCTGGGCCCCCAGGGCGAGCACCCAACCCCCAGACGTCTGGTTGACCCACAGGGGGGGTCCAGCGAAAGGAGGGCGGTGCAACATATTCGGTGCCATAGATGTGCGGGGTTACGATACATGTGGGGCGTGCAAGACATTCCGGTGCGCAGAGGTATTGCTGGGCTTTCGCGTGCCATAGCTCAGTTGCCATACGCTGCAACACACTTCTCTGGCGCAATACACTTGCAACACGACTGCTCCAAGCCTATTGCACCACCCCCTTCCAGCTGGACACCCTGCCCTTGGGCCGATCCCCTTCCTCCTCGATCCTCGATCCTCAACTCTCGATTCTCGATCCTGGATCCTCCATCCTCGACCCTCCTCCTCCTCCTCCTCCTCCTCCTCCTCCTCCTCCTCCTCCTCCTCCTCCTCCTCCTCCTCCGCCCTCCTCCTCCTCCTCCTCCTTCTCCCCCTCCTCCCTCCTCCTCCTCCTCCTTCCTCCTCCTCCCTCCTCCTCCTCCTCCTCCTCCCTCCTCCTCCCTCCTCCTCCTCCTCCTCCTCCCTCCTCCTCCCTCCTCCTCCTCCTCCTCCTCCTCCTCCTCCTCCTCCTCCTCCTACCTCCTCCTCCTCCTCCTCCCCCTTCTCCTTCCCTCGATCCTCCTCACTCTGGATTCTTCGATCCCTCGCGATCCTCGATCCCGATCCTTTCTCTCTCCTCTCCTCCTCCCCTCCCGCTCCCCCTTCTCTCCCCTCCTCCTCCTCCTCTCTCCTCCTCCTCTCTCCTCCTCCTCCTCCTCCTCTCCTCCTCCTCCTCTCTTTCTCTCCTCCCGCTTCTCCTCCTCCTCCTCCTCCTCCTTCTCTTCCTCCTCCCTCCCTCTCCTCCTCCTCCTCCTCCTCCTCCTCCTCCTCCTCCTCCTCCTCCTCCTCCTCCTCCTCCTCCTCCTCCTCCTCCTCCTCCTCCCCCCCCTCTTCATCCTCTGTCTGATGCTCTGATGTAAGACTGTTCACGTTCGGTTTGGTCGGTTGACAGATGGTTTTCCTGAATTACACGTGCCCCCCCTGGATTCTTATGATTTGTTCAGCCTTTCCCCAGTCAACTTGGTGCTGAGGCTCTGGAGCCTCAGCATGCTCTTAGCCAAAATGATGGTTTTCCTGACTTGTGAGCGTTGTCCCAGAGTCCAGGTGATTTGTTTGCCCCTCTTCCCTCGGTGTCAGTGTCGAGGAGCAGGAGTCGAGGCAGCAGTTTAGCAGCAGGTGCTAGAGAGACGGATGAGACCCTCCTAGGTACGCTCCGCCTCCTCCTCCTCCTTTGCCCCGTTTCCGTTTTTTTCTTTTGTTCTGCCCTGCCGATGACAGGGGTGGCCGGTCACGGCGCCAATGGTTGGCGCCGGCGCCTTTTGAGAATGCTGAGGATTTGCCGGTTTCCAGACGGCGCCGTCGCGAGTCTTCACGCGATCAAGGGGGGGGGGGGGCAGGGCGGGTCATGCGACCCTGCAACAAGAGATGTGGA